GGAGCCGGAGCTGGAGCTGGAGCTGGAGCCCGGCCGGCTCCGGGCGCTGCCAGGCGCGGCCGTGCAGGGCTGAGCCCGGCCGGCTCCGGAGCTGGGGGAACAAACTCCTGCTTCAGCACCCCCGTGGCCTTCGCAGCCCGCTGGGGTTCGCAGAGCCGATCCCAGCGCTTCCAGAGCCGGAGCAGCCCCTCTAACGCGTGCCGAGGTGTGTTGCGAGGCCTGCAGCCGGCGCCAGCCAGAGGAGCAGCGAGAGCTCGGGGTGAAGCCTGCGGCTGCTGCTCCCGCTGTGATCCCGCTGTCATTCCCCTTTCAAGGCACCAGCTTAAAGCAGGACACCCCCGGTTAAAGCGAGCCTGCCGGGGGCACGGGACGCGAGAGGAGCTGAGCGGAGGCACGAGGGGGCAGCCCCAGCTCCCGCACTCGGCATCCCGCATCCCACCGCTCCGCCGAGGTTCCCCGGGGCAGCATCTCTGCACAAAGCGCCCCGGCCCTCCCCAGCCTGAGCCCGGCGTGTCCCCAGCCCGCAGCCCCATCCCCGTTCTACAGCCCGGGCTGCAGCTCAGGCCTGGCTGGACGGGCTCCAGCCCAGCCCCGGCCGGAGCTCGCCCGGCAGCAGCCGCACCGTTCCTTCGTGAGGCGCTTGGGAACGTATTGAGCTACTAACGGTGCTCCACAGGGCTGAGTATGTCTGAACAGCCCGCGAACCCACCCTGCAACAGTACAAATAAAGCACGTTTTAATTATTATTTCCTTTGATTCTCCATTTGTGCCTCGGAAAGCACGAGGACCTGAGCACGTCTCAAAATACAGAGGATAATTGAGGTACACATAAAAACCACTTGTCAGCTGCCCTACATAGACATCTACTGTATTTTCAGGAGCTACTACAACAGGAGCAGCCTAAAAACGCTTCCAAATCCCCATCGAAAATGCCTCACGCAGCATTTTACAGCAGACTGTTGGATCATTAAAAATGTGGCTTGTGGATAAAATGCATTGCAACCCGGAGATTTCCGTGACAGCCCAACAAAAAACAATACAGCCAGAGACTTCGTAGCTGAGAAGTGCTGCTGATTAAATCGGAGATTTCTCACCAGCCAGGAGCTTCAACCAACTGCAACCGTATTCCAGAGAATGAGAAAATGGGGGGCTTGAACTACAGTAGGATCAAGCAGAAGTACAGCACGCGGATAGCAAGTTAGAGTGGGGGCTGGGGGATAATTAAATCAAGGCAGAGGGTTGCCCAACACAAACCAGAAGGAAAGGTCCGAGTAGATTGTGGTGTCTGAGTGCTGGTAAACAAATTCTGCTCCAGTCAAGAGACGAGGCGATCCGGGAGCACAGGGTCCATTAGGAGAGGCGGGAACAGAGCCACGGGAAGCACAAAATCTCATCGTGGCATGGAGCCAGTGCTCCAATCGTTGGGAAATATAGAACTACGTATCAAAATAACTATTACCGATGGTAACGCTCCTGGCAGGGTTTAATCGTCCTCTCCCTGCCACAGCCCCGCGCTGCTCGCTCTGCACAGCCCCAAACCGCTGCCGGAAGCCAAAACCGCATCATTTCACCCCAACAACCCATTTCTAAACTTCCAGCACCAGCCAGGGCTTCTCAAATAGAGGGAAAAAAGGGCAAAGCGCGTTAGAAAAGCACGCCGGGAGCCGGCGAGCGGCCCGGAGCTGCGGGTGCCCGCTGCCCCTGGGGACGAGTTCCGCATCCCCGGGGCACCCCCGGGACACCCCCGGGACACCCCCGGGGCGCCCCCGGGGCACCCCCGGGGCCGGGCGCCGCCGCAGCCTCCCCGCCGGAGCCCCGGGCGGCTCGGGCACGCTGCGGCAGCGCGGCGCTCCGTCCTCGCCTCCCCGCGGCGCCTCCTACCTCAGCACGGCCGTGTCCCCCTTCCTGACCACCAGGCTGTCCACGGCAGAGCCCGGGAAGTCTCCGCCCGGCGCGGCCAATCTCCCGGGAGGCAGGAGCCAGCAAAGGCCGAGGAGAAGGACGGCCAGCCACCGGTGGGAGCCCCCGCTGCCCCGCACCAGCGGCACCATCTCCGCTCCGCGCCGGCCCTGGCGGCGGAGAGCGGCGGAGCGCGGCGGCTGCCGGCGGCGGCGGCCCCGGGCGGGCGGGCGGCGAGCGGCGGAGCGCGGCTGCAGGCGGGCGGCCGCCGCAGCATCCAGCGCGGAGGGCAGCGCGCCCGCTCCGCTCCGCTCCGCTCGCTCCGCGCGGCTCCGCTCGCTCTGCGCGGCGGCGGGCGGTCCCCGCTGCCAGCCCGTTGCCACGCAGCCGTCGCCTTGGCAACCGGCCCGGCGGCGGAGGGATGCTCGGCCCTCTTCTGCCGCGCTGCCCGCTCCGCCCTCCGGCCCCCCGCGCCCCCGGCCCGCCCCGCGGAGCGCGGCTGAGGACGGACCGCTCTGCCAAAAGGCAGCACGCAGCCGGCGGCGCCGGGAACGGCACCGGCCGCTCCGGCCACGGGCCCCTGGGACCTGCTGGAAGCTCCAGACCTTTCTGGAACGGAGGGTCGCCCACTCTGGTGCTTCCATTTCCTAATATTCTGCCTAGAATAAAAAGACTGTGGGCTAGAGACCTTCACCGAAGAGTAAATAAACCACTGACAGATGGTTTCCCCAGATTCTACCAGGGAAGCCAGAGACCTTTACCGACGAGAGAGAAAAATCACCAACAGATTATTTCCTAAAATTGTCCTAAGACATTCAGAGATATTGACCAAGGAGCTACAACCCACTGCTCTGTTGTTTCCCAGAATTCTAGCAGGGCACTTAGAGACCTTTGCCGAGAATCTAAAATCCACTGAAGGATTCTTCCAGGATATTTAGAAGCTTTCACCAAGGAGCAAAAATCCACTGACAGATTATTTCCCCAGATTCTACCGGGACAGCCAGAGACCTTCACAGCAAAGAGGGATAAACCACCCACATTTTCCCCCAAGATCCCAGCAGGGCATCTGGAGACCCTGCCTGACAGATTCTACGAGGCCATCAAGAGCCTTTCACCAAGGAACATAAATCCACTGGCAGATTATTTCCAAAATTCTACTGGGACACTTAGAGACCTTCAAAAAAGCAAGAAATCCCCTGGCAGCCGAGCCTGCTGTAGACAGCCAGGAATGAGCAGCCTCTTTTCCCCTGGGGCTCTCTGAACATCCCAGGCTGGGCCCAGGCCCAGCAGCCGCACCACAGCCCCGGCTGCACCTCGCTGGGCTCAGCCCGGCTCCCTGCAGGAGCTCCTCTCCTCTGGAGCTCCAGAGAAGTTGCATAAAGGCCGCTGTGGAACGGGAATTGGAGGAATGCTGCACTGGGGCTGTTCCCAGGGTGATTCAGGCACATCTGGCCCGCACAATGTCCCAATTGTCCCTCCCGCAGCCCCGGCCCGCGCGTGTCCCCTTTCATCCCCTGCCAGGGCGTGCATTGCTCCGTGTGCCCTCCTCCCCTGCCCGCGGCTTGCAGCACAAGGATCTGGGAGTAGAAGGTTCCAATTGAAGAAGATCTGTGATAATCAGGATGCTTCTGCCGCCGCTCTTTCGGGAAAGCCAGACCCCGTTCCTGGAAGCTTCTCCCTTCATTACCACATCTCCCATTAGATGCTTCCAGCTGCCAGAAGAAATTCGAGTGTACACAAAAGGGAATTCTTCCCGTTCTCCTGCAGCAGCGAGGCTGCAGAGTTCCCTCGGTAAGGAAGGAGAGGGGGAGAGCGGGGCTGGCTGCCCCGGGGTGCCTGGGGGCACAGAGCTCCTTTCAGCGGGGAACACCAGTGCCAGTGACACAGCCCGTGCCACGCGGCAGCTGCCCAGCTCACAGCGCCGGCCCTCGTGGCAGCAGGAGCTTCTCGCAGCACTGAAGTGCCAGAAGCATTGTTGGGAATGCTTCCATGCAGCTGGGAGCTGGCTGGGCACTGGATGTGGGCTCTCTCACCCACACCGAGCAGTTCACAGAGGTGCAGCTGTCCCACCCCTCACCCTGCCACCACCACCCACTCAGAGATTCACAGTCACCTCCCCCAGGGCCTCTCCAGAGCCGGGAGCTTCTCGAGGGACCAGCCAAACACATCACACACCAGGCAGCTGGAAAGGGAAGGGTCCTGAAGGGCCTCAAGAACTCTCAAGAACTCAAGAACTGTGACAAGGAGAGCAGCAAAACCCCCACAGCTGCTCCTCAAGGCCTTCTGCTCCTCCTTCCATCCCACTGTGGGGTGCACCCAAACGGGATAATTCCATTTGTACAACAACTCTTTCACAAAAAGGGAGGTGAGGTGCACCCCGGGAGAGCGCTGATCCCTCCGAGCAGACTCTGCCCTGGCAGAGCTGCCATCCCCGGTGAAACACGGCCCCTCCTGTGCCACACCTGCACAGCTGGAGCAGCTCATGGGCAATGCCAAACTCCTGAGGCACAGTGGTCGTGCTGCCAGTGCTCGTGCACAGCTTTGGGAGCACGCTCTGAGCTCGGGCAGCCCCTGCAGACTCCATCCAGAGCAGGGCCCGTATCGGGGGCATCGGGGGCTCGGATGTGCCAAACTGCACCCAGCTGCCACCTGTGAGGAGCCCTTGGGGTGCTCTGGTGCGCTCAGTGCTCAGATCACCCAGGATGTGACAGCAACTCACAGCTCATTTCAGAGAGCTCTGTAACCTTTAATGAGTCCAATGATGTTCCTTTTGCTTGACCTTAATGAACAATCAAACAATTTGCTCCTCTTTGAATGAGCGGGACAAAAGGCATCTCCCCAGCACTGTTTATTCATTTATTCACGTTGCAAAAGATCCTATAAATCTCAATCAATAATAGCAAAGACGAAGCTTTTTGTCTTGTTCATTTTTAGATTCATATCTTGCCTTTCATGTTTTTTGCGGTTCATTGGAAAACGAGCAGGTCAGGGGGCAAGAGCAGTAGTCCCAATCAGGGCTGGTCTGGAGACTGAATTCTTTCATCTGAATCTGCCCCACCTCCTCCCCAAGCCCAAGAGGAATTTTAGGGGGGGAAAAAAAGAATAAAAGAGGAGAAATCTCACACCAGACACGTGCACACAGAAAAAGTATTTCACAGAATGGCTGAGGTTGGAAAAGCCCTCCCAGCCCACCGAGTCCAGCCTGTGCCCAACGCACTGGAGGTGCCCCAGCAGTGCCAGCACAGGGGGACAGTCCCAGTGCCACACACCAGGCTGTCGCTGGCCTTTGGCCATTTGGGCCCAGGGCTGGCAAGTGAACATCCCCAGCAGGCACCTTCAGCTCACTCTGACTGCGTGTGGCTGGTTTAGCACCAGGTCCCTCAAACCCAGCCCTGCTAACGCCATGTGATAATTCCTTGTAATTCAGCTGCATATTTTTGTTTAGAACCATTTCAAAAAGCTAAATTTAGTTGTTGTTTGCAAGTATTCCTTCAACAGTTTGCACAAATACTCAAGACTGATTCCCAGACTTCACACTTGGCTTTTTGCTTCAATTCCTTCTGTGTGTTTAACTCTCCTGCACCCGTTCCCTCCCGCTGGCGACACAAGATGGGAGTTGGATGACTGAAATAGGCTGCAGGAGAAGCAGTGCTCTGTGTCTGCATCCCAGAGGCAGCAACGGGAACAGATCACGGGCAAGGGGGCAGCTGCCCTTGGGCTGGCACCTGCCTGGGAGCAGTGCTCACAGAGCCCTTCCTGCCAGGGCACAGCACCGAGCACTGGGACAGTGTCCATCCTGCCAGGACAGTGTCCATCCC